GTATTTAGCAGCTGACCATTGAAGCCGAATTTTGTAGCAGTAGCTTTGACTGATCCGGGTTCAATGTCACTGGCCGAAGAAACGGCTCCTATATCCGGAACTTACAGCTTCTGATCCCGGAGAATAAAGAAAGCTCGTGCTTACCCTGGTAAAAATGGGCTGTATAGCTTAAGGCTTATACGGTATTTTCGCTTACTGCTAGCCATATGATTTTATATAGCCGGCTATATGAAGTCATATGGCCGGCCATATGAACTCATATAGCCGGCTATATGAACTCATATGGCCGGCCATATGAATTCATACGGCCGGCCATATGAATTCATACGGCTGGCCATATGAATTCATACGGCTGGCCATATGAATTCATACGGCTGGCCATATGAATTCATACGGCTGGCCATATGAATTCATACGGCTGGCCATATAAATCCTTATGGCTGGCTACAAGATCCTTCTGAAAAGGTTCTAACACAGAAAATTCATAAATAATAACTTACATACTTGTTTGAATTACTCCTCAGGTGAGATGATGAAATAACTTGTCTTTGGCAAAAATTCAGAATTCTTCAAAATATCCATGTTCCAAGGAGAGATGTTCATGCACCACAGCACCACTGTTTCATTACATATCGCACCACCACTTATTTTGAGAAATGTTCACACAGAGATTGAATAGTTCATTTTAAGAATGAAGTGACGACAAAAATATCACTATCACAGCACTTTCATAAAAAAGAAGAATTGAACACTTAGAAGGTTTACGTAGAGGAGTCCACATACTTGATGTTGATTAAACCAATGTGAGATTCAATTATAAAAATGATTTGATTTTATGTGGTTGATTTTTTTTGGTTTTTTGTGTGTGATGCTGAGAAATCGCCGTTAACCCCCTGTCCCGGGCTCTTTCAAATAATTGAAAAATTGCCACTATGCAGGAGACAGACGGACTGTGAGCCGAAGACAATATACTTCAAATTCAGATATGTGGTCAGGTGGTAAGACCAGTTACTGCAGATATCAACCCTCTGTCTGGAAAAATATGAAGAAAGGAAACAAGGCATCAAAATCAATCATTGATAAGTACTGTGGTAAAGGAACATGAATATATTTTTTTATCGTGCCCTCGTATTGACACTGCTATAGAGCTGTCATGAGAAGTGAATTTCTACACATGAGAATATTAAGAAGGCAGCAAAATAATTGAAATGCACCTATTGATCAGCACATAATAATGATGCTTAAGGCTTGAAGACGGTTACACCGTTCCTAACGAGACGCAAATTCTGTTTAGAGTAAAAATGCAATTAATTTTAGCAGACAATAATAGGTGAAGACCAAACGTCTCCTATCACTGGGTTTGTAAATTTTAGTGGTAACGATTAGATCCTAGAACCAGACCCACCTTAAACACAATATTAATGAACTGAATCCAACTCTTGTTAACCAATTTGCGTACCACTGCCAGTTCCGGCAGGAATAGTGACTTGGTTTTTCGAGATCTGATAAATACAGTGCACAGCAGAGATACTTATGATGGCTTGCACCTGCTGTGAAAAGCTTAACTTGGGTACAGCTTGAATTTAGAGTATAATGTATCAATTACATGTTTGAAGTAATTAAATACAATGTGAAACTGAATTCAACTGATTGTGAGGTTAGAAAGTATGTTACAGACCAGACTGAACATTTGGCCAAATGTAAATGAGTCTATCTATACTTAGTTGCTTAATGAAAATCCTGTTCAAAATCAGGTGATTGAAATGTCAATGCTAAGATAAATCATACATACTAACAGCCACATTTATTCGACGAGAGATACCAGGTTTGAGAGGGAACTGATACAGCCAAAAGAAATCACGCCTACAGCAGAATAGTATCTGGAATAGTAGAAGAGAACTCTAGACAATTACCTGTCGTGTGGCTTGACGATTAGCTCCGTGAGGAGAGAGTGCAGTCAGGGATGGGGATCAATGATTTACAATAATTATTTGGCAATTTCGTGTAAAACTTTCGTGAAATGTCTTCAACAGGCGTTCAGAAGTACCGAAGTCAGACGGCTAGAAAAGAGAAGAGAGATGCGCGATGACGGTTAGAAATTGAAACAAACAGAGACGGCCATCTTTGAATCTAAGCCTGACGTAGAAGGGTAGGTAGGCCCATCAGCCAATGAGAATGAAGCTCTTTACGCCTGTATGACCCAGCTGTGTAACAGTTCTCATCTGACCTGCGTGCGTTTCATTGCAGATTTATTACGTGAACGTGTAGACGTGACTTCTTTTGAAGAGAAGAAAATTTGGCTGTGCGCAATCGTTAAAATCTAAGGTGAGGTTAGAAATTAATTTGTGGATTTTTGTCTCTGGTCTTGTTAAGCATTTTTAACTCCATGAAAATGATTTACATCGCAAACTGTGTAGGAGACTTCCACAACGAATTGCTAATCAGTAAACGACAAGTTTCAGGTAACCGGATTAATCGGTACAATCTTATGTGGTTCACAAAATTTCAAATCTTCAAGCGTTGTGTTGAATCCAGTTTGTAAGTACCCTTTTCCTGTCCAGAATTCAACCTCCAATGTTCACACATTCCAGCTACAACACTTTATCTATTCCTGCAAACCTCGTATTCAACATGTACTTTTACTGAATACTTTCTAGGAACCATGTGACTTGAACACAGCTCAGCTATGAAAGAACTTTGGTTCCCATCTTTAATAGTCTGCTGAAATATATTTCATGCCTAATCTGAACGAGACGTCTTGCTAAGAACAGAGGAGTAAAACTAAGACATAAGCATTCGTTAAAACTGCCTGGTGCTTAGAACTTATCATGCGCTGATCGATATACGCCTTACTTCATTCTTTTTTCCTGTCTGTCCAAAGTCAAGAAATTCACTTCTCCTACCCTCTTCATAGCAGTGTAAGTGCATTGTCACGATGATGAAATGTTCATGTTCCTTTCCAAGTGTAGCATAGATTGATTTTGATGCCTTTCTCTCCTTTCTATTTTTTCCAGATTGAGAGCGTCAATATCTGCGACAGATGGTCTCAATACCCAGGCCCATCTGAATCTAACGTGCACTTTCTACTTCTCACGGTCCGTCTGCCTCCTGTCTTGGTTGCAATTTTTTAACTATCTGAAAAGCCCTTGACAGGGGGTTAACGGCAATTTCTCAGCATCAATTTTTCACATAATTCACAGAACCAAATTCGTAACTCACTCTCACATTAGTGTAGTTCACATAGTTCACATGCTGTATTTGTTCGCTCTATTAAGTGAATCTTCAGGTGTTCATTTTTTCCCTTTCTTCTTCAGTGCTGTGACAGTGATACTAATAAAAATTTATCTATCTCTAAAAATGAACTATTCAATCTTGGTGTGAGTGTTTCTCTTAAGTAAGTGGTGGTGCAATATCTAATTAAACAGTGATGGCTAAATACTGCGTGAACATTTCTCCTGGGACCATGATTTTCATTGAGAACACCAAAATTCTTGCTAAGAATCAGCTATTTTGTCTTCTCTTTGAATGGCGTAACTACCGAAAAAACTCTTCATCGTCAAATGGAGCTTTGAGTTTACCCATGCATCAAGCTGTTTCCATTCTCTCTTGGATGATTGTAAATATTCCTGTGATTTTGATAGGCAGAGGGTGAGATGGCAGGGGTTAAAAATTAAAAAAAAAAGAAAAAAATTCAGCATATTTTACAGGCGATTCCTTACCCCCAAAACAGCACATAGGTATTATCAATCTCTTGAATAAAAATTTGTAGCAGCCTCAAAAAAGAGTTAAATTTGTTGTTCAGTTTGATCCATTAAGATGAAAAAATTGAACCAGAGGAAAAACAGTGATGAACAGCTAGGTGCCACTAGTAAAATTTCTAAGTGCCTTCAATTACCAAGAATACAATTTTAGTAACTTCAAAGTAACATTGTTCACGTATCCACAGATTTGAAGGCGTTTTGAAGTTGTGCTCCAAAATATGGAAATGTGTAAATTATGTTGTCGACCATGAGATTCATGGCCAGCTTTATGCGTTTCATGGTAGCTTAATGAGTTTTATAGCCCGGTTGTAAAACTCATATAGCCGGCTATGAAATCGTTACAGCCGGCCTTAAGCCGCACGGCCGGCTGTATGAGCTCATATAGCCGGCTATAAGCCATACTGCCGGCAGTATGAGGGCTCATACAGCCGGCCATATGCTATACTGCCGGCAGTATGAGCGCGCATATAGCCGGCCATATGCCATACTGCCGGCAGTATAACACCATACAGCCGGCCATATGAACCTATATGGCTAGCCATGTAACTTATACAGCCGGCTATGAAACTCATATAGCTAGCTATATAAAATCTTTATAGCCCATATGGCCCATTTTTACCAGGGTACCGGTTTCATAGCCGGAGCATTTTTCTAGTAAATGTGGAAAAGCTGTCATTAACAAAATGTAATAACCATGAACGACGTCGTGCCTAATTTATTGTAAACATGCTTTTTTCAACCGCGGCCGGTTATAGTCGCAGCTGGAAAAACACAGAATTTTCCTTATCGGCTATTCGGCCTTGAAAGAGCATGTGTATCATTCCGATGTTGAGAACACAAGTCGTCGTCCCCCGGTCGAGAGAACACAAATGAATTTTACGGTTATAACATTTCCATTCGCATTTTGTACTTTTACTCGCCAACTTTCGCCCGTTCTTAACTTAATATTTCACAGATTTTTCTTCAGACTATTAATCAAAATTAGAAAAATATTTAAACAACAATTCTATAGTCATACTCTGCTAAAAAATTGAATTGTTTTAGTGAATTTTGCAACATTGATATGGAGTAACGTTCCTTCGTGTGGGGATCATGGAACTTCCTCATAGAGGCGTAAGTCCTCAAAATACCTCTGGTTGATTCTATTCTATTTTTAACCTTCGTGTTATTATCTGCGCATGACAATGAATTTTTGCCACGCCTTGTTGCAGTTAAAAATTGTCGAGCACCAAAAACATACGCAGTCAACATTAACTCTGAGCCGTGTAGACTTTGCTTCTTTGAGACAATCCTTACGAGAATACGTGACGAACTAATAAAAGGTCCTTTGTTATGACAAAGGTTGTTATAAATACTAAGTTCAAACACAGCTATAGTGACCATGTTTACTGCTCCTGGCAACTTTCTTAAGTTGATTCTGCCTCCTCATATTTTTCTCTTACAGAGCATTCTAGTTTTCGTTCCTTCGTTTGTTTGGGGCTTTGACTATGACTATGAGACGGATCACATGGCACCGATTATTCTTGGTAAAGAATGAAAAACTTTTATTTCCTTCGTATTTTTTATTTTTATGATTCATTTATTTATTTTTATGTAATTAGTTTGTTATTGAAATTTTGGACTGGATCATTTTCTTCTGGCTCATTCAAAACCATATCATAACGCTTTCCCCGACCCTTCTCCTCCACAGAGCGTCTAGTAATTTATGAAGGGCCCTCTCTTAAAACAAACGTATCAATTCTTGTAACGTAAATGGAGTCGTATCGTGCCCGGCTTTTGGTTTCAAATAATCAAATGCGTGACAGATTACCAGTTTACAGACTTTGAGCATCGTGTGAACAATCAATAAATTGACTTTCATGAAACTAATTGTTTATAGTATGGACTTCATTTGCCAACAAGGAACCACCATTTGAGAAATAGCGCATATCGACGGTGAAACTACCAAACCACGTATCTCGGTTTGCGACGTCGCAGACTTCCTGTCATACTTTATTTTTTAAATGAAAAACTACTTGACATCCAGTCTTGAAAATTTCGGTGATTTTTCCTCTTTGTGCGGAGAAAATTCCGTGAAAATTTCAAGGAATGATATTGATTTGGTCTACTTCAAAAAAATAAAATGTGAGCGTAGATTTTTAAACACCGCAAACGAGATACGTGGTTTGGTAGTTTCACCGTCGATATGCTGTTAGTTTCCTCGTGTAAATGGGAGATTTCATGGGTGAGCCAGAAATAGTGTAAGTAATAAATGGAAGCCGATTTTTTGTGGATTTTCTTTAATTCACTGAGGCCCTTTTCGGCTTACGCCATCATCGTAGCATTGTGGAAAATCTTGAACGTAAACATATTCACAGTTCGAAATTTTACGAAATTATACATCGCATATACATCATGGTGTCGAAATTGAAAAAGCGAGAGATGATACGAAAAAACATCGCACCCGTGAAAGTTGTTAACACGCAAATCAGCCGATTGTCAATACGCCAGATTTGCCAGAAATAGTGGATCCTTGTTGCGGAATGTGTACTCTATTTATGGTGCAGTGATTAAGATGAACTATGATCAAAAACGTGTGCGAATTTTTTGCTGTAGTGCCAGGGGTCGGCGGGGTTCGGGTGGAGGGTAAGTGGCACACGCATGGTCAACCATGGTACTGTGGAGAGAAATCATGTGGTTGGGAACAGCTATGGTTTCGGAAAAGAACCGGCCTAGGCGGGATGCCTTTAAAATGTTTGGTAAGTCGATTCTTTTGAAATTCAATGAACTACACATGTGTGTATAAATCAGCAGCACGTTAAAAATTCCCAAACGGGCTACCGATTGCTTTACATTTCAAACCGTTAATAAGCATAAGACTCAACACACTTATATTTCTTCAGATATCTTTGTTACTTTGATGACTTTAGTAACAGAGAAATAGGTACCAAAATTTACGGATCCACACGAATTTAGTCAAAGAACAAAATTGTATCGAGGAGTGCGTGAGAATGTAGTTTGTCGGGACAATTCGCTTCAAGGATGAGGAAAATGAATTATACTTGCAGGTTGGTCCTCTGAATCAGAAACCCTACCGCATTATTCGTCACCCTTCTGACGTAAAAGTGCACCTCAATTTCCACGTGAGCTCCGTTTTACATATAAATCCATGCTGTCTGGGGCTCATGCGAAAATCGAGACACGCCCTTACCACAGAGGAGCGACTTATTGTCCGATGGGGACAGAGGAAGCAACTGCAGTAGCGCAACCACTTATTCTAGCCAAAACTATTTGGAAATCTGGAAGATTTTTTAGATTATTATGAAGAAGCATTATTTTTACAACACTGTAATATTGCGCTGGTTCCGTTTTGTTAAATGCGATCACTTTTTGGTAACTATTCATAACGAAATTGACTATAAATGTATATTAATTGCTTTAAAATTTCAAAACAATGCGGAGGAAAGCCTCCGGACCCCCCGCCCCCCCAACGATAACTCTGAATTTGCCTATGTATAATGATATCGTTTGAACAGGTTTTTCGTTACAAACTCATCTATAACAGGACAACGCACCGCAGTCACAATCAAATCGGAGTGAAGACACGCGTCGTGGGGAAATTCGGGAGCCTTAAACCCGTCGAGTATCTGACGAACGATCCTATCTCCCACCTCGGGAGCCATTACTTCGATGACATCGCGAAATCCTTTAGGAGGAGCGGTTACTCTGACGAACACAACTTGAAAGCTGCCGCTTATGACGGTCGATATGCAATACGTAAGCAGGATCTTAAATTTTTTTCGGATTTAGAATTGTGGAAGTAACCGTTCGAGCTAACTTCACGTGTGTAAATGTAGGAAAACAGGCGTATTTTTGTGAGGAAGTTAATAATACACCGCATGAGTTACGGGCTGTGCGGCTTCAACCTTAAGTAAAATCTATCCAGGGTTGTACGGATGAAATGAAAAATATGCAATATTGAAAATTTCCGTGAAATATTTCATATAATTTCACAAAGTTGTGAAAAATATAAAACATATTTTCACGGGATGGGTATGCAACGCGCACTAAAAAATGACAGCAAGCAAAAACCAGTCGCCTTTCATTTAATTTTGCATTCAATTTCGAAACATACTTTTCAATATTTTTCATATTTTTCTGTGGAATTTCATGAAATATTTCACATGAAATTTCAAGATTTTATTTTTTATGTAAAATTGCAATCCTGGATTTTACTTTGGAGGAAATAAAACCCAAGTTCTTTTTAAAAAAAAATTAAAATAATGAAAAATTTTACTCCACAATAATATTTACATAATTATGAGACTAAAGTAAACGGCAAACAGCATTACCGAGGCGCAAAGCGCTTCTGGAGGTTGGACTGCAAAGCAGTAAGGGAGTCTGTCAAGGGGTACGTATCCCTCTAATGAATAAATAAAAGAGGAAAAATCAGAGGAAATGCATTAGCAGTGTGAATGAAGAATCCCATCTGTGCATGAAGAATTTGTCTGAATTCATTTACCATCATGTAGGGAATCCGCGCCATTGCGGCATCAACTTTGAGAGCTCCCTTTAAAGAGGCTCTACATACAGAAGAACTAGAGGCACCATCGTGTCTCTCGCAAAATTTTACATTGAAAAAGAACTCAAATTCTGCCGCGTGCAACGCAAAAACGCCGTAAACGCCATTTTAAAATTTTCGGAAACAATGTATTATAGCAGAAAAACCTGTGGACCTTGGGATGATATTTTTTACAGAATTCTTTTGCAAATACTATCAAGAACTTAACCTGAAAATTCGAGGTGAATGGGTAAAACAGATTGTATTTTATAAAGTGTTAAGTTCCAAAAAAATCTTCGTGGATTTACGGCGTTCTTGCTTAGCACGGTAGAATTACAAGTCTCTGTGGCAAGAAAGAGGCCCATTTTAATGTAATTATTTATTTGTTTCATAAGCGCAACTGGAGGACTTTGGATACTTTGTCAACTTCACTGAGTTGGTAGAACGAACTGCTCACTGCTCAAAAAGAAGGGTGTCGATCGTCACACATAGCATGGGTGGATTAGTAGCAGCATACTTCCTCGTTAATAAGACGCAAGCGTGGAAGAACAAATACATCCATAACTTTATTGCGATCTCGACGCCTTGGCTGGGAAGTCCTAAAGCTATCGAAGCATTCGTTACAGGTTTGCTGCTTTCCTAGTATCTTTTTTCCGTTGGACGAGATCCTACCGAAGAAGATGAAAGAAGACGAAAAAATTGTTAAACCGTTACAGTGCTTGCGATTCATTGATTTTCCGGTACGAAAAAAAACAAAACACGGTAACTTATTTATTGAAAAGTTATTCGTGAAACGATAGATCTCAGACAATTCTCTCAATGAATAGTTCTTGATACCAGGAGAATTAACAAAGCTCTTTAAGATGAGTCTTCAGCACTTATGCATGGGGATTATTCGACACTCAATTAAAAAATTGATAATTTCTGGATTTTAGAAAATTTCTCCAGAATTTCTAAACATCTTATCACCTTATCATGGTATCATATTATCGTAGTGCGTCAGGTATTTGCACACAGACTTTGAACAAGAAACATTTTGGAACTGCTTTATAGTTTATTCCGTAGATCAAAAAGGCAGAACGATTTGCCATATTCTATTGGGATGTGCTTTTGGCGTCAAATCTGAGTGGTCCAATTTTTGTATCCAATTATCTGCTGATTTACTCCAGTGTAATGTGACAGTTAATAGTTATTAAAAATTGTCTGAAAACCTAAAAATTATCAATTAATCTTTAGACTATCAAACAAGGTCTGGTCACCACTGGTCACCACCTCAAGGGTGCGCGAAGCTTTAAAGTAATCCTACTAAAAAGCAGAGTGTAAGATTACGGTTGATAACATTTAAAATCAAAGTAAAATATTAAGTTTGATTTAAAACTAATTCAAATATTGTTTGACACAGGAACAAACTTCGATGTTAAGACTTTCCAATTATCAATAATGAGAGAGCTAGTCAGAACATTCCAATCTGTAGCGCTTCTCTTGCCCGCGGAAAACGCTTACAAGGAAACAGTTTTAGTTGACTGGCCTGAGCAGAACAAAATTTACACGGGAAAAGACTATAAACAATTGTTTACGTAAGTTTTTCGACTTGTTTGGATTTAATTCATGGTATCGCATTTAGACCTATATTTAGCGATACGCATCTATTATTTCAAGGTTATCTATCTCACTCGTCAACCATCTGCATGGGGAGCGTAACGGGCCATAATTTGTTTCTAAAGTGAGCCAGCTGAGATTATGGTTTACTATTAAAAACTTAAATCCGATTAACTTTCTCAAAATGACGAAGATTCGGCCATCCCCTTACTTTACTCATGAATGCGCTTTCACAAGCATTTCCCTCACATAACGAATGTAACGAGAATTTATTCCGTTCCGTACTGAGAAAGTTCTCTGCGTTAAGAATTTTCGTTGAATCGACCAAAAATCTCTATAAAGTGACAAGACTTCTCCTATAGGTAATAGGAATATTGTTTGAAACAAGGAAATTCCACGTTGAACGAGAAATTCCCGTTGATCCAGCATGACATTTCTCGTTGCATTTTTTTAACCAATTTTAAACACTTCTCAGGGATATGAAGTACAAAGATGGTTATCTTATGAGGAGAGACGTCCGGTCCCTGATGCCCGTTCATGGCAAAAAACTGGGAGTGAAGTTGGTTTGTGTTTGGTCACACTTCGTGAAAACACCTTTCACGTACGTACCATCATCATATTCTCTATCCATTTGAAAAATAAAAATAAAATGAAAAATGTGAAAAATAGCTTTCTATTTTTGGCGTTTTTTGGCCTTTTTAGGGCCTATTCTGTCCCCATCATATGACTTACCAGTTGAAAAAACTTTCAACACGATAAATTATATAGTTTTATATCAAGCGGGTTTTATGTTTACTTTCACATTATCAATATCATTACTTTTTTTCAATACTACTGGTTATACTATATCCTACATTACCTATACATAGTCTCTTTTTGATGTAGCATTCCTGCCTGCTGCAGGGAAGTTTTCACACCTTTACTAGGTGAGATTTGAGAGTTAGAAACATCGTATTTTGTCCATTTAAAGTAATTGCGAGGCCATGGTGGTTTCCAAAGTCATAAGGAAGTGTGGTTTGAACAAGTTGTGGTCATAGCGATTGCAATATGGTGTAAATGTCGCTCCAAACTATCGTGGATATTATTCCGAGTCAATTTCACTACCATTTCCATGATAGCATACATGTTGGCGTAAAATTCCTCTCCAAAATCTGACAATGTGGCTGTGCGTTTTCTTCAATGCTCCTCTCCGTATAGACGGCGATACTTGCAAACCGTGGGTATCTCAGTTTGTGACGTTACAGACAATCCGTCGCTCTTCATTGTTCAAGTGGAAAACTATTCAACGGCAATTCTTTAAAACTGCCTTGATGTTTCTTCCCTTTGCGGAAAAAATTCTGTAGAATATTCAAAGGATGGTGTTGAATTTTTCTCTCATTAAAAAGATAAAATAGGAGCGAAGATTTTCAAACACCGCAAAATGGGTCCGTGGTTTGGGAGATTCATCGTCAATATTTCTTAATTATTTCGATTTAATTTTCATTTTTTAATTGGAATTTCAATGGATCAGTTGCGCTGATCACAGAATTGTGTTTTAATGCCTCATTCTTGCATAAGTTAAAAAAAATGAGATCTGTGTGAACAGCAACTTTCTACATTTAATATTAACCGAGACATCGCGCCTTGAAAAACTCGATTTATGGTGTCATCAACCGAGGTTGTGCATAACATGGATACATGCTACCGCGGTGGATGACGTCATGAATCGGGTTTTCCAAGGCGCCGTATCTCGGTTAATATGTAACGTAGAAAGTTACTGTTTGGGCAGATCTTATTATTTTTAGCTGATCTACAAGAATAAATCATCAAAACACGATTCTGTGACCAGCGTAGCTGACGCATAAATTAAAACTATTGAACTTTATACGCGTCTTTTAATGCGTCTTTTTGCTGCATCATGAGTACTTTTATTTTTTTCGTTCTATATTTTACTGTTTTACAAATAAAAAATATGAATATTTCAGGATGCATGTTGAGGGACACATGGCTAACCCAAAGCACGTCTGGCGCACTGACGTTGACGGAGATGGGACGGTAACTCTGGAGAGTTTAGAATATTGTAAAAGATTTCCAAATGTGACGACCAGAGTATTCCCGGGCAAAGACCACTTGAAAATAGTTTTCTCCGATGGCGTTATCGACTACATCAAATCAAATCTCGTGCATGCAAAGCCTGTGTTGTACTGATGAAGGCAATGATTTTGGTATCAAGTTAATTCGAACAGCGAACTCAGAAAAAAATGTTTACATTCCGATTCTAATTAAAATGTTTCTTTAGAACGTACAAAATTGTGTTTAATTTTTACTTTCCTTTTTTAAAATCGCCGAACCATCCAGTGGACGATCGCGTCTTGAAAATACTCAATATTCCGAAAACTTCGCCCAGGTTCTCATTATCTCGATTAATATGACAAATAGAAAATCATCGGAAAATTATATCAAAGCGAATGAAAAGTAATTATAAATTATTTGAAATTTAGAATGGGTGAAAGTTCTTCGTGCACTTAAGAACTAATGAGAGGAGAATTGATGCTAAATAAACAAATTAAGTCGCACTGAGTTGGGTATGCAGACAGTACGTCTACAGAAAAAAGGGCTACAAAAAGAAGGGCTACCTTTTTTAGTCTACAGTCAAAACGACTACATTAAAATGCCTACTAAAAGTATGTCTACAGTCAAATATGTCTACGCTATTAAAATGTCTACGATTTGTTTGCCCACTTAGAAAATGTCAAAATATTTATGTTGGCCACTAAAAACATATAAAATATATTTATAAAATATAAAATAAAATACACATGTTGATATTTATAGGATCAATTATTCGCGAAATGTGCCTCACAATTTTTACGCATCAACTTCTGCAGCACCCACAGTTTCGTCCTGTCTTTGGGGATACACTTTCAAATGAGATTCTTATTAGACGACATAAATACGTACTTTGACATTTTTAGAGTAGGCAGTCAAACCAAAGACATTTTAATACCGCAGACATATTTTACTATCGACATTATTTTAATGGGCATTTTCATGTAGACATTTTGACTATAGACCAAAAGAGGCAGCCCCTTTTTTTGTAGCCCTTTTTCTTGTAGACCTACTGTCCGTAAACCCTGAGTTGTTCGAAATCATTTCACAACACAGAAATGTTTTTACAGTATCTCTACATCAGAGCAGAGGTTGGCTGATATCAGTAAATGCCCACTGGGCTCGTAAATCGATGCAGTGCCGAGGCAAGAATGGTCGATTTTCGAGATATCCCCATTTGAAGCAATGGTAAAGAATCGATTATGAAGGTGTTCGTTGCGAACATCCTGTTTATCGATCCTGTCCCATTGGTTTAAATGGCAGATCAATCGATTTATCGCAAAGCACGCCACGCCACTGAATCGAGAAGGAAACATATTCTTTTTTCACGTTCCTTCATGCTCACCAACTATTTTGCACTTACTTCTGAGATGGACTGCATTTGGTAATTTTTGAGCTACCTTATCTGGCTCAGTTTAGAGACGACGTATGTACTATTTTTCCTACACACATGAGTGTTTTTTCGGCTAGAAATTGTAGTTTCTGTTTCAAAATGTAGTTTAAATAATGTATAGATAGCGATATAGATAGCAATAGCGATGTTGAGGTACAATAGTTCCTAATAAGACCCCCGAACTCATCATGCAAGACATGACGTGACAACTCATGATGACGTGAGTATGTTTCAAACCAATGTTGCCTTAATTAGCAGTAAACGTACCAAATTTTGAATTATCTTCACCCCAGAATAGGAATTTTACCGGTAAACAATGTTCGCGAATGCAGCTGAAAAAATAAGTGGCTTTGCTATAATGGTATTGATGTATCCTCGGAACCGAAGCTCACATTAGTGTTTGACATCCCGGTGTATCCTATCGCCTCGAGCAGAACATGTTGTGATCGGGTTGAACATACACGTGAAGAAGAAAAACGCATACTTTCTCCATGTTCATTTCAATTTTTCAGTGGCTCCTCTTATTAAGCTTCACCTGCCTTCCTACATGGTCGTATCGTAGTTATGATTACAACGCAGACGTAATGGCACCTGTTATTCTCGGTAAATCATACTTGTGTTAGATGTTTATCAAACTTCCAGATTCCATGTTTCTTAATTCCCATGACTTCCGTGTTTTTTAATTCCCATCGGTAATCTCCTGTAGTATTTAATGTGTGAAGATATTCATTTACCAATTCACAGAGAAAAAAAATATGGTTTGAGGTCAAGCGGTAGATATATGGGTATGGTAATCCCCAAAAGACTCTCCAACATGGTCGCAAATACCCTACTTCAAATCGCATTACCAAAAGCATGGTAAATGCTACCATACTTCTGGTGAAAATCGCCATACTTTTTTTCAGTGTAGGTCTCCAAGCTCAGAACTGTAGCATGAATTAAGACTGTGTTTATCAACGCTCTAATTGAAAGTCAAAGAGCTTCCTAGAAGAGAGACTCATGCCAAAATATTGCGTTTTTAGAAAAACGCATTCACACACTCCAATTATTCTCTTATCTGCTAGCAGATGAACACTCATATTGGAATTTGGTAATTCGATCTGAATTTCAATGAGTCGTCTGAAGCGGTCCCACTATTAAAACGCATCATAACCTGTGACCTATGGTCCTTTTCCAAAAGAAAGGCCCATAACTGAATATTCTTAGTAATTTCTCGCAATTGCCTCCCCTTAATAATTGAGTCTCATCAACAAAGTGTAGTCGTCTTTAACTAAAAGTCAGAATCATACATTTGCAAAGTTTATTGGACGCATTTATGCTGAACGGAACTATGTTACACGCAAACCCTGTGCACATAGCTACTTTTAGCATAAATACGCCCTATTGATCTTTGGTTATTCGTGAATTTTATTCTATCAATGGGTCAGTTGCGCTACTTTTAATAATCGCGTTTTGATGCTCGATTCTAATAGATTACCTGCAAATGAAAAGATCTGTCCGAACTGCAACTTTCTACTTAGTGTGGTGGTTACACGCTTAAATTTCCATCAATTTCCGATCAAATGGTGACTGGTGCGCACCATCTACCATCAAATTTTTGCAGGCCGCAGATGGTAAAAATGGTGGAAATTTGATGGTAGATGATGGAACTGTGGGGCTCATCCTTTATCTGATTTTCACACAACTGTGCTTATTTCATGCTTATTTCAATCAACACGCTGTTTTAATTAATTTTACTCATCAATGTAAATAACTCTCGGCCGCCATCTTGGTCATAATTTTGATCGGAATTTGACGGAAATTTGAGCGTGTAACCGGCCATAGATATTAACCGAGATATCGCCATTAGAAAAGTCGGGGTTTTGACGTCATCCACCGCGGTAGTGACGCTCTTGGTTTCTTCCACATTGCTTTCATTAGTCTGTGTGACGCACATTTGCACTAGTTACGTACTGTGGAACTTGGATGAAAGCAAGGTGGAAGAAATCGAAGGTGTCACTAACGCGGTGGATGACGTTAAAAACCCGACTTTCCAAAAGGCGATATCTCGGTTAATATTGAATGTAGAAAGTTGCAGTTTGGACGGATCTTATTATTTTCAGCTAATTTTCAAGAATCCGAACACAATTCTGTGACCAGCGCAACTGACCCATTAAATTTTCATCGCGGGGGGAGGCGGAGACGTGTGTGTGTGGAAGGGTTGGAGACGAAGCCTAATTTTTCCTGGAAAAGGGGCTGAATATTTGACAACTTGATAAATACGTCGAATTAATGGATAATGTGTACATGAGCATTTACGAACAATGACTTGCATTGAGGTAACATTCTCTCCAATTTTTAAACTTTTTTGTAGTTCCCGGAGTTGTTGGAACCCAGGTGGAGGGTAAATGGAACACAACTTCGCACCCGCTGTACTGTGAGGGGTCGCAAGGGTATTGGAAACTGTTATGGTTCAAATGGGATATTCTTGTCGGTGGTGATTCGCTCAGATGCTGGGTAATTCAATAATTGTTCTGCTCCTTTGTGCATTCACTGGAAAAAAAAACGCATTGGATCTAGAGTCCAGACTCTTAAAAACATCGACAAGAAAAAGTACTCTTGATTCAATAAGAATCTATAGCTTAAATTAAGAACCAAGCCTCTTAATTTAAGCGGATTTCGTTTCGATTCAAGAGAAAATCCGATTGAATCGAGAGTATTTTTTCTTGTCAATGTTTTCAAGAGTCTGGACTCTAGATCCAATGTGTTTTTTTTTTTTTTTTTCCAGTGTTCCTTGCAATAATATATAATTTGCGCAGGTGGATTTTTCTCTAATTCCTCAATGGAGTTGTTAAAAGTAAAAATACGGTGATCAGCCGAATTCATTATACAATTATCCCTATTTTTCATTTCATTTTCAACAGGATGACACTTGCAAACGCAGTACTTTATTCCTTAAGGGTTTAGACTCTAAGCGGCTTAGAAATGCCATAGCCGTAAAAGCCTTGGAACACGTCCAATCCCTTGCCGGAAACGGCCAAGAACAATGACAGAACATCAAAACCGTTCCCCGAAATAAATTTCTACCCGTTGGTAGAGATTTTCTACTCATGGGTGGAAATTTCCTCACGATAAGGAGAAAGTTTCTACTCATAGATTGATACTTCTTCCCGATCGGTAGGCAGATATTGGAGAAAAGACGAATGAGTTCAACGGCTTCTGTATTAATCATAAATTTTAAAAGAGGCCTGCTGCGTCTGATCGTTAAAAATTAATTTTTAATTTATTAAGTAGATTTACCTACTACACTGAAAAAAAAACTCCGCCGGCCGTGGAGGCCGTACTCACGAGCTATACAGACATACCGTCCTCGTTCCGGGCTCAGAGTCCAAAAATTCTGGGCGTTCGTGGCACCCGCAGCAGTCGTAACTTTTTTTTTCTGTGCTTTAATCATTAAAGACACAAAAAAATGACCCGAAAATACGAATTCAACAGAGAAAGAGTAAAACATGGGTGAGCGAGGGTAAAAGCGTCAAAAAAGCATAAAAAATGGAAAACGTTTTTAGCCGTTACATGCAGGCTTATTTTCAACTTGAAAACGAGTAGAAAGGGTACATACGAATGAAAGACAAAATTTAGTAGTTGCGTGGATAAAGACTAGGGTCAGGTCGCCATTCGATTTTTTTATTTATTTTATTTGTTGTCGCAGCTTAGATTTGGCCTGCAATAGAGTCCCTTTTACAGAGAGAGTTGAGACAACGCGGCTTACGGAATGAAGATTACACAAAGCGGACGTATATAATAATCTTTGATCAACCCATTCCCGAATTCCTGTCTTCGTCCCCTCCGTCATTCAATTTGTTCCTTGCCGTACCCCCTATTCCCCGGTCCATTCCAGTTTATAATATTTGCAATTGGTGAAAATGTAATCCTCATTCCCGTTTATGACACTGTGTAGGCCTAAAAAACGAGGACCAATCAGAAATGGATTCGCGTTGTCTGTACTCTCAGTATAAAGGGACTCGAGCCTGCAATGGCTCAAAACGTTCCACATTATTTGTGTTTTGATGCTCTCAGCCTTATTTACCCATTTTCTACTTTCTTTTAACTCTTAAATAATGAATGAATGCAAGACTTTTTTCGTGGTACTTTAATTAACGATGATTTTATTTTTTACTGTTATTTTTTGCGCGTTTGTTTTGAAAAAAACTCATCCCAGGTTTATAGATATAAGCTAATTTATAACAGAGCCACCCACCGAAGTCACAACCAAATCGAAGTGGAGACACGGGTCCCGGGGCGATTCGGAGATCTCCAACCCGTCGAATACATGACCCGGGACCTGATCACCCAATTCGGGAGTGGATACTTGCAGGATATAAGCAACTCGTTGGGGGCCAGTGGATACGACTCGGAACGCAATCTGAAAGCGGCTGGGTACGATGGGCGCTATGCACCGCGTAAGTTACGATCCGGCTCGGACGTATTTCTATCAAACGGAACTATGTGCATAATGACGTAAGCCCTGATATGCACATATTCTTATGGGTCTCACGGCTCATGTCTTAATGCACATAGTTCCGTTTGATAGGAATACGTCCATTTCACGTATCGGAAATTAATGATACATACTTGATACTATAAAGAAAAAGTGTGGTTAGATCGTGCACTGAAAAAAAGCACATTGGATCTTGAGTCCAGACTCTTGAAAACATTGAAAAGAAAAAATACTCTTGATTCAATCAGATTTTTGCTAAAATCAAAAGGAAATCCGCTCAAATTATTAAGAGGCTTGGTTCTTGATTTAAGCTTAAATCTGATTGAATCAAGAGTATTTTTTCTTATCGATGTTTTTAAGAGTCTACACTCTAGATCCAATGTGTTTTTTTTTCCCAGTATGGGATAGCTGAAGCTCTAATTGTAAGATGTTGCGTGAAATAAAGAGTCGAAACTTGGATAAGCCTGTACGTACATTAAGCCGCTTCTATAGCGCAGCCTCGCGCTCTGCGACGCCCAATCGCCATTGCCCCCTATCCTCCCAGAGATCATCAGGCAATTAGCACCTTCTGATCTCCTTCTCCACCTCTTGTCGCCAAACTTTCACAGGACGTCCACGCCGTCGCCTTCCGGGAGGAACCCAATCGAAAACTTGCTTGGGCAACCGATCGTCTGCCATCCTTCGCACATGTCCATACCAGACCAACTGCTTGGACCTGATATCGTGCACGATGTCATTCTCCACACCCATTAAATGCCTGTGCCAGTGGAAAATTTCAGGATGAAAAGTGAGAACACCTCACACTTAAACTCGCGGAAAACGGGGGAAAAGTTAGAGGTACGTGCGTGATCACGCGTACAGAAAGGTGGAAATACACCCCGAGATGAATACATCAGAGGCTATGACATGACGCATTCCTATGACTCTATCCTGGTTGATGTAATTATTTCGAACCGCTCAGTCCGAAAATGCCCTTTGTTTTTTCGTATCATGACTCAGTTTTCCAGAAAAGCAACTTTTTCCCGCGGAATATGTGCGTAAAGCGCAGGCGTATTTTTGTCATGCGTGCGAATCATTTCGATATATTTTCCTGGACCCGTGGAAGAGTGACTAATTTGTATTTTAATCCGCTTAATCCGAATATGACGTCGGTTTTTTTTCATCACCCTCCAGTCCGTGAAAGGTTTTACACAAAAGGCTCGGAAAAGTCGGCCATTGGAGAACTGGAGGGTGATAACGAACAACCTAGGTCATATTCGGATTTAGCAGCTTAAAAAACGAAAGAATCACTCTAACAAGGGGCTCAGGAAAATGTATCACTACGTTACACGCATGACAAGAATACGACAAAGGACCCCGCACACATCTTATGGGAAGCTGCACCACGACCGATTGCCTTCTGACTTAAGTTTTTCGATTCTCCTCAAGATGCTGATCAAAAGTTATAATTGCGCCAACTTTCTACGATGCACCGTTTTCGCAAAAACGCAAAGAGAAGATTCAATAATTATTCGATGATACAGAGCCAGAAAGATTCCTCATTTCAGTGCTCGATTGACAAGCGGTTGTGTTTCAACAAGGAAATCATGGGGACTCCCGCACCGAGCGGCAGTCTTATCTCGGATTCCGCACGCCGCACTATGGTCCCAATCCGCTCGGGAGCGCTCAAAAATCGATATTTATGAAATTGGACGACATTTTTTTTTCGAGTCAAAATTGATAAATATAGTATCTACGGGTCATAAACTACACGTAGTATACCTCCAAAAAATTTCTAGTCACTTTGAAAGTGTCACAAACTGTGCGAATAGTCTGATATGTATTTTCTGACCCNACTGAAAAGTGAATTGGGACCATAGTGCGCCGTGCCGGCCGTTTTGCTCGACCATCCAAATCAGATTCTTGAGGAGCATAAGAACAGGAAAGTCTGAACGTCTACCGGGCGAGTGCGGGAGGGAGATAGCCCCTGAGTCGGCAGGTACAGATAAGAAGACAGACACACGCTACGTTTTTTTCCTTATTTACATCGAGCCTGTTCCCAAATGCTTTGTTCTTTTTCATTCATAGTCGCCGAATAATTGAATCTTCTCTTTGCGTTTTTGCGAAAACGGTGCATCGTAGAAAGTTGGCGCAATTATAACTTTTGATCAGCATTTTGAGGAGAATCGAAAAACATAGGTCAGAAGGCAATCGGTCGTGGTGCAGCTTCCCATAAGAGGTGTGCGGGATCCTTTGCTCATTTTCCCGAGAGAAAGTCGCTTTTTCGGAAAACTGAGAGGTAATGGGAAAAAACGGAGGTCATTTTAGGACCCATTTTAATTGTTTTAATTTGAGCCTTAGAAAAATTTTACCGACATTCTGCGGGGAGTAATCGTTCCTAAAACACCAAAAATGCCCATTTTTCAAGGTGACATCGGTTTTTCCGGAAAATTGAAAAGCAATGAACAAAAACGAAGGACATATTAGAATTTAGCGCCCCAAAATACATAAGAAGCACCTTATCTCGTCCAGGAGACATTTTTTTTTATTTTTTTTACACATGCTCTTAATTGTGAGAATTGGATAAAAAAAAGTCTTCAGTCTTAGAAGCGCTAGTAATCACAATTGAAGTTAAGTTTGTCCGTCAGGATGTTGATATTTTGTTGAACTAGATAGTGAAATCAGCGACCCATAAATCATGAGATACATCAATTTTTAAAACGATACATTGCATGTTCGAATAAAGTTCCATAAAATCCAATTTGTGGACCACAGTGCTGCGGTTTGGATTTTGCAGTTCAAAAAATCTAATCTCGGGGGAAAGCTATTTTAAATTCGAATATATCATGTTTATCATTATAATCATTATAAGTAATCATTATAATCATGCATATCATTACCTATTATATTATGTTTAAGATTAAAACAAATCAACTTTGCTATACCCTCCTCGGTCGGATGTGGTGGAGTGCAGGGAAATATTCCGCCTAGTAGAGAAAGTATGTGCGTAAGTACGAAAAGAATGTGCTGCGGACATTCGCCGGATGTTCCCAAGTGCGGGTTAGAATGGTAGGACAATCACCATCCACCGCCGCCGCACAGTGGATCGAGTCAATCGAAGAGGAGAGGTCGGACAAAATTTGAAATCTTCAAACGCTTATAACTCTGTCCATACAAACTTTAAGGTTCCAAAATTGGCTCCATTGGTTTCCTCGTAAAATTTTCTTCTAGAAGCGTTCTTTAAAATTTAAAATGTGACGAAATAAACATCAAAATTTGTAGTTTTAGTGCAAATTATCATGTCCGACCTCTTCTATTAACTCGATCCACTGTGCGTCGCGCCGGTGCAGATTCTGGTGTTCAGCGCTTTCTTTTTATTCTCATCGTCGGTTATAATGCAACTCTACGCACTCTATGAGCACAAAAATGAACTGGCCTGCCCTGCAGATTAATTATTTTTATCCTGAAGAGTCGAGAGGTCAATATTTGATTTTTCAGCCCAACTTAAGAAAACTGTCCTTACTCTACAGCTCAACAAGTGGAGATCGGATACTACGCAAAATTTACAAAACTTGTCGAGAGAGTTGCAGCTAACACAACACGGAAAGTAGCGATCATCACGCATAGTATGGGAGGAATTATGACCGCATACTTCCTTATGAATAAAAGCCAAGCCTGGAAGGACAGACATATCCACGCTTTCATCGCTATTGCAGCACCTTGGCTTGGCAGCGCGAAACCTGTAGAAGTCTTTATCACAGGTTAGTTTCAAATCCAGAGACAAAGAAAGACAATTAGGAGATTGATTTCTTGGCAATGGTGAAGGCCTTAAATTTCGGGGCTCCAACATTCAACTTTTGACCTCCCTACTAAGTTTGTGTAGAACAGCGTGTTGAACATTTCGTTTAGCAAACAAGCCACAGTCTTTCAGTAAACCTCTTGGCGCATTACGTCACTCGAATGTCAGAGCAATCAAAACATCGAATCGCATACTATCGCGTACAAATTGATCAATTTTCTCAATGATCATGATAAATTCCTAAATTCTCTTAATAATAACGGTTTAAATCACGAGTATATCGATTTACTTATTTTTCTATTATTCACTAGGAGCTGACTTCAATATTCCAACATTGGATAAATCGGAAATGAGGGAACTCCTCAGGACTTTTCAGTCCATGGCACTACTCTTGCCTGCAGAGGAAGCATATGGAGACACAGTTTTGGTTGAATGGCTGAATAAGAACAAAAATTACACGGCCAAGGATTATAATCAATTATTTCAGTAAGAACTTAATGAGCGTTTCTAAAGTGAATGCTTAAAAGGCTTATTGATATGCCTTTTTCAGCCCTCTCATCGGCCAGCGATGCAAGTTGGGTCAACAAATGAGCAGGAGCACATTTGAAGCATCCAGTTTGAACTTAGAGCACAGCTTTAATGCGATAAAAACTAGCAGAAATTTTTTTACGAACTCAAGAATGCTATTTTTGCAATGCTTTCTGATTTTTTTTCTGATAGCCGTTAACTTTGATGGAGCGATACTTACTTACGTCACGTTACACGTACGTTTTCATACGTTACGTTATTTTAATTGCCATAGAAAAATTATAATTTTAATACTGCTGGAGATTTGGAAATACTGAGACAATATTGAAGATATATTGCTTCTAAAGAGGGTTTCATCGAAAAATAAGAAAACTCAAATGAAAAAAGAAAAATACAAATTTAAAATACTTTCCTTTCATTGAATTATTTTAAACCTGCTGTTATGATTTAACGTAGTCTTCTCAACGCTACTCTGAATCTGCATGCTTTTTCTGAGTTAGTTAGCAACTTATGTATTTGTTTTGTTGTTTTTTTTCTTCAAGCGACATTCACTATACAGACGGCTATCTGATGAGGCAGGATGTCCGCTCGTTTATGCCCATCCAAGGAAATAAGTTGGGAGTGAAGGTGGTTTGCATTTGGTCTCATGGGCTAAAAACCCCTTTCAAGTAAGTATGTGCATTATGCAATGGGTCCGTTGAAATTTTCAGCTTCTATCCTGCAATGGACAGAGAGAAATTTTGCGAGGGAGAGCGACTGTCAAGAAAATATTGGTCTCTTTACGCAGAGATAACGTTGTAACGAAACTCATTAGACACGCAGGGATAATATTTCTTTGTGACGTTCTTGTAAATTTTGTCATAAAATATATCCAAAAGAAATTGATGCATTATTGCATTACAGCATAAAACAAAAGTAAAACAATTGAGACAAAGTGAAAATGAATAATTAAGCAGAGCATATGCATCAGCTCAATACTTTGCTACCTTCGATGAACAAAATTGACACAATATCCCATGGCAATGTTGGTGTCTGTTTCAAAAGTAATGTTTCATCGTTGTAATAATCATTACTGCAGGGCCTTTAATTATATCGAATTAACGTTGAGACAAAATTCCCTCGCAGAGTATACAGGCAAGAGTTGTTTCCTACAATGAATAGGGGAAAAAGATATCTACTACGGAAAAAAACCCTCGAAATACTCAATCGCCCATTTCAATGACCCTTCTCTTACTTTTCAAGCACCAAGTTGTCATGCTATGGATTTTCGCAGGGTATGTGAACTAACAGATGAACAAAACTACACATTAGTTTGTACAATACTTGACGATTTATGAAAAAAAAAAAAATCTTCCAGGACATTTTTTGGGACAGTTTCAGTTTAATGTTGTCAGAAACTTTGAACATCATATTGTGGCGACGAAAAAAAGCCCCCCCCCCCCGAAAAAAATGAAAGTGTATAGACAGAAAAAAGGGGTCAAAGAAAAAGGTGGTTCTGAACGTACTTTTAAAACTAACTATTTTAAGATGTTTTTTGGTCAAATTTTATGTAGGGATAATACCTGGACGTACTCTAGTTTGATACGTCGTACGGAAATTCATAGGAAATGTTCCAATTTCAGAATTTAGATTTCATTGATTGATCGATCGACTGTGGAATCGTTCATTCAAGAGCAGGATATCCACCCTAAGGAAATCGGTTTACGTGGTACTCGTCATTTTGATGGCGCATCATCCCACTCCTCACGAAAATAAATTATAATGATTTTAATTTTTTCCCTTGAATTTTCAGGATGATCATAAAAGGCAACAACATTACAAACCCAACGTCAGTTAATTTTACAAATGTTGATGGAGATGGTACGGTGCCACTGAAAAGTCTGCGCTACTGCGAGAAATTTCCTCGAGTCACTTCTTACGAAGTTTCAGGATACGAACATTCACAAATAATGCACTCACAGGAGGTGCTTGACTATATTAAATCCGTCTTAGTCAAAGCAGAACCTTTTCAGTGAAACAAGTCTTTAGGAAGAAAAATACACTGAAAAAGGCAGTCAACAGCTGAAAAAACTGTAAATAAATTATGATTCAATTCAGCTACCGCTTTTTCTTTCATTGTTTCTACTTTACTTTTGTCCCCTTCACTTGATTAGTTAGTAGGGTTTCATTCATAGCCATTCCCTGAACAGCTCCTTTATCAATTAATACTACATGATTAACATACATAAGATTAAGAGTTTAAGGAGATCTCCAACGAAGCTTAATTTAAGGGTCTCTCCAACGAATCTAGAGAAAAATAATACATAGTATACTAATTTTGAAATAATTATCTTGAATAATTACCACGTAATTACTTCGAAAATTGACCCTGAAGAAAGATTACAATCATCTACCTTTAAAAATATTGAAAATACTAACGAAAAAAATTTTAAAGTTTGAAAGTTTAAGGTAGCTGAGTACTTACTTGAAAGTTTGTCAAAGTCGTAAAATTATTACTCCTTGTTTTTTTACATATATTTTGCACGGCGGAAAATTAATGACGTGCAATGATCTACACCCTTGTTTTTTGTTGTTTTTTTTTCATACCGCTATGTATTTTTTGTTCTTTCGGAACACTTCGGACGATTTTTTTTCAGTCAGGCAACAGGAATTTTGATGCCTTTTGACATTTTGATTGCAAGGCTCTAAAAGTTAAGCGGATGCTGGTGTGTAATGAGTGGATATGAGCACTTTCAATTTGACCTTGAATTAATGGGCGACTAAGTGTTCAAGATATTAAAAAATGCTTTAAAAAACCATCATCGCAACTCAGGTCATTGCACGAATTTTCACTAATGAGCAAAAATTTTTATATATTAGCATTTTTCCTCAGAATAGGAGCATTAACTTATCAAAGGGGTAGAATTAAAGTTTTGTGACCGTGAATGATTCATTGTTTCACATAATTGAAAAATTGGTTCAACCACTTCAACTGAACACGGTTCGTGTTTCGATTTTCTTGAAACCTCATTTCCGTACATACGCATTTCGCAAATATGCTCTGATTATTCTGTTCCTCCGTAACTTTTCTTACGAATCATAACTTTTAAGTTTATGCCTGAGCAAAATTGTCTAAAATAATGACCTCAAGGGCTTTACCTCTAAAACTCTCACGAAACCAGTACTGCGCGCAGTACCGGTATCTTTCTCCTGATATTGATTCTTAGTGCTGCGATACTAACCTCCTGTTTGTACCTTTTAACAACATTTTCCCCTCTCTGTACTTACGTTGATTAGAAAAAAGTAGACTCGCATCACACGCGCGAGTAATCATTTTTTTGTAGAATGCTTCCCAGCACAGATTTACGCACTTAGAAGGAAAAAAGTGGTGGAACCCTCTCACATCGAAAAAAGGAAACATCTACTCTTCAACTGTCTGACTTTTCTGAGGTAAATGGATAAAAAAAAGTGATTTCCGTCAGAGTGTCGCTATTCAGGGGCGGCAGGGGCCCTTTGGTGAAAGTGGATGCTTCAGTTCGCAAAGTTGTGCCCTTCTCCTACCGGTGTTCTGAAACGATAGACCAAATTTTTCACTCGTTATGTTTAAAATTTTGCCCTCTCAGAGCCACACCAAACCTCAAAACCAGTACAATCGGTCTAGATACCATTCCTTTCGCGTCGGTAAGTTTTTTTTTAAGAATTACCTATAACCTATTAAGAACGAAAGCCTGACAAATATGGATATTTTTTAAAACTTTGGCTGCCGTAGCTTCGAGGTATCTTACTTCAGGACCCGCATTTTCAGAGAGAAAGTCTTATTTTGAAGGAAACACTCATCCCCTAAAATGGCGTGCCTCGTTAAAAAATGGACATCTTGTATCAATGGTGAAAGTGAGAAACCACGTATCTCTATTGCGGTGTTTCAAAATTTCCGGGCCTGCTTCATTTGTCCATAGAAACACACGCCAAGTTTATAAATCAAAATTCCGATTCGCAGTATCTTAAAAACTCATTTAATTCTACTAATATTCACAGTATCAAAATACAGCTAACGTCCAGTAGCTCCTCTCAGGCTCTTTCATCCAGATATACATCGACGATAAAACTACAAAACCACGTAATTCGTTTATGATTTAACATTATTCCTTGAAGTTTGTTCAGAATTTTCCTCGCACGAGGAAGAAAAATCATAGAACTTTTAAAGCACTGACGTTGTGTCGTTTTATTAAAAAATTAAGTATGACAGCAGTCTGCATCGTCGCAAACCGAGATACCTTGTTTTGGGAGTTTCATCGTAGATAAGTGGATTATGTAGCATCGCGTCCAAGATATTGGACTCCATGCTCACCCGTGATATACTTGCTTCCTCATCTCGTCCAAGATCTTGGACTCCATGCTCATCGCTAAATTTCTCACTTCTTTGCTTGAGCATGGAGTCCAAAAGCAAGTAGACCTCCCTTAGTTTTAAAGTTCATCATGATAGAAAATCGTATATTCGCTTATCTAATCTAACTTGAACTAACCTAGCTTGAACTAACCTAACCTAACCTAACCTAACCTAACCTAACTTGACCTAACCTAACCTTACCTAACCTAACCTAACCTAAGCAACGTGCAATTTTTTTCGAGAACACATTTTTTCGTCTTTATTTCACAAAAATTGTCTTCATAAATTTTTGGACCCCATGCTCGTGTATTGTCAGAGAATACCTGCGTCTCACACTTTTGGACGCTATGCTCACTTCGATTTTTCGAAAAAATTATCCCTAATTAAAGTGAGCATAGAGTCCAAGATCTTAGACGTGATGAGCAACTGAACATTATATAGCTGAGCATGGAGTCCAATATCATGGACGCGATGCTACATTACCGATAAGTGCTTTACGAAGCCTGAATAATTTTCAGATTTACCGAACCTGCTCCGGGCACTGGTAGCATTGCACGTAGCGACGTTGCTTTCGGAAGCGCAGCGACCAGAATCAGAGTGGTCTCACATCCACGTCCTGGACTATGGCCGTGGTGACGTCATGGAAACGAAGAATTCTTATCTTCTGGCTGCAATCAGCACTAGTCAATTCGTAACGGCAACACGCACACCACAGGGCATTGAAATAAAAAAAATGCGCGATGCTGATACAAGAGTGAAGGTAAATTACGATACGTCAGGATTTGAAAAAAATAAAAATTTGTAAATGATGAGACAATGAACATTTGTTGCTCGCTGAGAATCTGTAAAATTATAAGAAGCTAATTGGTCACTATACCAGCAACGAATTTTGACTTGCGAATACATTGTTTCAAAGCAAAATGACGCGTAGAACACGATGAAAAGCGAAAAAAAAGAACTCAGAAACCGAGAAATACGCTGATCAAAAAGCCCAACTTTTCCGCAAATTTAAAAATTTCAGGTTTCGCGCCGAATTGAACGATGTCATCCGGCACCAATCAGAAGCGAGCTCGGGTTTCTACGACTTCCATCCAATGTCTTTCTATTCCTCACATAAGAAAACAATAGGAAAGTCGAAACTATATCTTCAGAATCGAAGAATCGAATCTCCTTCATGTTATCTGTGGTACACATTCAGCCATTCTACATTGAAGTAACTTTTATTTTGACTAACATGATTGGAAAATGAGAGGAGATAGCGATTTGACCGCCGAAGTGCATCACTTTAATCATTTTCCCGCTACTCCGGCGCGTTTGAGATTCATTCGAGTGTATAAACTTTTAAAAGCGGAGTTTTCCAGGAGTTCGGCTCCAAAAGTACGCAATAAATCACCACGTAATCTACTCACTTGATACTTTCAGAGAATTAATGGAAAAAACACAAGTTTCATAGCGACCAATTGCATTTACGGACAGAGGCGTAGCCAGGAAGGGGGCGGGAGGTCTGAGGGGACCGTATCCCCCCATGACGGGAAAATCGTCCCAAAAATGTCGTTATTCGTGATTTTCAGGAAATTTACGATATCGATGGCCATAGTGCGAAACCAAGAACCTCCATTTGTGACGTTGCAGACTTCCTGTGATTCTTTATTTTTTCATTGGAGAACTAGTCAGCTTAATTTCTTGTGAACCTCCTTGATTTTTCCTCTTTTTCCGTAGAAATTTTAAGCTGCATCCTTGACTTTTTCCGCTTTGAAAAATTAAAATAAGAGCGCAGATTTTGAAATACAGCAATGAAGACACGTGGTGTCGCACTAAAGCCATCGATATCTTCTACAAATTATGGATGCAGCTAAAACCGTCAAAATTTGAGCCGCAAAGTTTGGTAGTTTCTTTGTACAGCATAACTTTATTTGTGCGAGATACTATAAAGACAGAGTACACATGGATTGCATTTTGCAAAAAGGAACCACTAGCATTGCAATGTTGCTAAGATTGTGCAACTTCTTTTGTCTTGGAGGAAAAACCCGATTATCCATTAATAGTTTCTATTTTACTCGCTAAAAACTGTAAATTTAAGACAAAAATTACCATCTAAATTTCATAGTTTTTCACGATTTCCGTAATTTTATTGCAAAAGATGAAGTTGCACAATCAGCATCATTGCGATGCTAGTGGTTCCTTTTTGCAAAATGCAATCCACATATCCTTAATGAATCATGCGCTCGCTTGTTCAGGCGAAATACAAGGAGGTCATACCAGAAAGCGGATGGAGTCCCGAAAAGCGGGTGGCGCTGGCTTTGAGACTTGCTGGTGGAGTTTTTCATTACTCCAAGTTGTGGTGCAATGAGACTGACTACATGAAATACATCGTCTACGGCCGCAAAATGAAGCCGGATTGTTATCGCTGCAACTGGAGGTGTCCGCTAATGCGAGACCTGACATCTCTGACGGTCGCGCAAATCAACGATCCTGCTTTTTACTTGCAGAGTATGTTTGGATTGGTTGCTGTACCGCCGCCGATATCATCAAATACCGGTTCTTAACCAATGTCATGTTATCTATTGGACGTATTTCTACTGAACAGACCTATGTGGAGGTGAGAAATATGGGGTGCGCTCGTTAGTTCTCTGGCCGTAAGAGTGAATGAGAATAATAAAGCGCCAATGACGTCAGTGGCAACGAACGAGGGTGGGCGCGGGGGCCCCGGCGGCGGGGACATCGTCGTCGGGGCACTTTAACTCATGAACCCTGTCCACAACGCTCTCTTGCCATGCCCGCGGCTCATGAGTTCCGCATTCAATTGGCAGATAGGTATGTTTGATAGAATGTAAAATCCCGCTTTTCCAATTCTTCAAAAGGAATCACGCCCACTTTTACATTGCTTCTTATATGCAGCTCCTTAGAGCGCACCCCATTTTTCTCACCTCCACATAGGTCTGTTTGGTGGAAATACGTCCTATTTTCATCCTGTAGTCATAAGTCGAATTTTTGCGAGTGGATTTGGTTGACTTTTGCAACCAGCTCGGCAGAGTTGCAAACGAAAGGAGAAAAATGATCCGCTGAGGTCAAGAACTAAGTTCAGTCGCTGGAGAGTTTGGACAATGTTGCATGAGGTGGGTCGAGACTTTTGGATGTGGTCGTAATTGCTGCCAGCATAGAAGCCAAATATTGCAGACGCATTGTCGCTGAGAGGGAATTTCGTTTTGTTGTAACGGAGGTTGGCAGCGAGTCAAAAAATTTCACCAAATCCACTCGCGAAAATTCGCCGAGTTTCAGTGGAGACTAAGCTGGTATCAGAGGAGATCTGACAGATACGAGTAGTACTAGAATTCTTTAGCAGTTTCTACTTGTCATTTTCAGCGGTATATTTTATAAAATATTTTTATTGGAAAGTACAAACCCCTTCCCCCTTAAGGCGGACGGCCTATTTAGGAGTAAGCTTGACCCTCCCCCTCTCTCCCTTGTTATATCCAGTAAGGATTGAAACCCCTCTCCCTTTAGTAGGTTACGCAATGATTGAATGGCTCCTAAATTACGATTTGAATGTGGATTGAAAGAGTGAATTTGCCTCTTCCGAATAGAATTTTTCCTTGTACGTAGGTACTTCGACTGCAAAAATCGTTTCCAGCCGGGGTTTTCGTGAATGCGCACTTTTTGGATCCGATTGCATGCTATATTTTTCTGTATGCGTGTTGCATCCGTATTCCGTAACTCACACCTAGAGAACCGCATTGGTAGAGCCCGTATAAACATAGCTAGTACATACTGCCGTGTTAAGGAAGAACGCCGTATGAACATTCGAGAGTTGTCAAATTTCCCTTAATAGCTCATCGAAGGTGTAGGTCGGCAGTCACATAACTCGTTTGCGGTGTCTGAAAATCTCCGCCTCTACGTTATTTTTTTAAAGGAGAACAAATTGACATCATTCCTTGAATGCAGAATTATGCAGAATTATTTATGCAGAATTTTCTTCGCACAGAGAAGAAAAAACACGGCAGTTTTTAAGAATTGCCGTTGAGTGGTTTTCCGTTTAAAAAATGAAGTATGACAGGAAGTCTGCGACGTCGCAAACCGAGTTATGTGATTGCCGACTTACACCGTCGATATGCATTTAAGACAACATGCATGCATATTTTTCCTTGAAAGCTCCAGACATTTTAGATTAAACTGCTTAAGAAAATTTCTGAAAATTTTGGAAGAGAATAATCTTAATCCTCCCGGTAAATTCGGTTTTTATCGGAGGAAGCTTGGCAACGCCTGAAGGCTCATACGGCGTTCTTCCTTAGCACGGCAGCACAGGACGTGCACGTGCTGTTTTTGGAAAGATCTCGCGTACTCCGCCGTGCTAAGGAAGAACGCTGTATGAACATTCGAGAGTTGCCAAATTTCATTCGATAAAATGTTCATTTTTGAGGAAAGCTATGAATATTTCTCCTCTAAATTGGATTACATTTTGCAATAAGGAACCACTATCTCTGGCTCTCCCATAAAAGCACGTATCTTCATAGGGAAATCAATGGCACATATGTTGTTTCTACAATGGGCCAGAAATAGTGGTTTCTTATTGCAAAATGTAATCCAATTTTCAGGAGCTGTAGGTGGAATTGCGAGCAAAATCGTCTGAAAAATTGGAGAGAAAATATTCATAAGTTTACCAGGAAATTCTTGTTTTATCAAAAGAAATTTGGCAATGCCTGGAGGTTCATACGGCGTTTTTCCTTAGCACGGCAATACTCTCGTTGGTAGACCTACCGCGAGGCGATTGGCATGACTAACCATATGACATGACAGAATGATATAAAAAAATTCGATCGCGTCAATGGAGCTATGAAAGAATTTAAGCACACAATCATGGCAATGAAATTGCTGTATAAACAGAAAGGCAGTTGAGTCAACATGGCTTATTTTTGCGTGGCGTCATAGTTTTAGATTGCGGATGTGGGTGCGGATCCTCGCTTAGTAATTTTTTGCATTAAATAAAGCGAATGAATTTTCTACTTTTTCGTACATTTTCAGCGGCACTTTGTGAAACTGATTTTTCCTAAGCGAAGCAATTACTAATTGTAGCATTAGAATGTAAAGTTTATTGTAAGTTTGATACGTTTTAATATTGTCATACATTGTAACTAGTTATATGAAAAGTTTTACTCAATAAAACTATTTTCTCTTATCCTTCAAGAGGTAGGTAACTCGATTGGATATTCTACGTAAATAACTTGTATATTTGAATAAAAATGGTTGCGCTTGATTGATAATTATTATGATGATTATTAATTATTGTGATGATTATTAATTATTATGATTATTATTTATGATTTATTCGATACGTTAGGAATATCAGAGCCGTTTATGCCAAAATCACCATTCATTGTAGATGTCAACACTAAGGTATGAAAATTTAAGATACTGGTAGAAAATTCGCAGCAGTATAAATTCGTTTAAAGAAGGTTGCGGTTAGAGAGATGATCGACAAGAGAACATCGAGATCGATGCGAGAAAATGATCAAACATATTACAATTATTAAAATTTCAATTAAAACTAATGGAAAATAATGCAATGGAAGTAAAACATTAATGTATCATTAATGTCCATTAAATAAACCAAGTTTGTGGGACTTTTTTCGTTCAGGCGAGGGCGTTTCCGTGTATCTAATCCAAGCATATTCAGTATTTGAAGAGTTCTGTACAGATTCGCTCTATAAAAGTGCGACCTTAAAACGTCGTATAACTTGCGATGTGAATAGGCACGCGATTTTTGACGAAATCGGAGCTACATTCTGAAATGTATAGACTCGGACGAAAAGAGTGCCAAAGCACACGATATATACAGGGTTATCCAAAAGTCGTTAGCCGTCCCCAAAACTTTTTTTCTATTGGGGATAAATAAACTTCGAGAATGTCTATTGGTTTAAAATAGCAGCTTCATAGTCCTCTCAAAAGCCTATCCTCAGAGTAATGGGAGCAAATTTTTTCAAAAGAACCTTTCCCCACCTTTGTGACTTTTAGTTTGTAATGAAGGAAATAAAGAAAAATGTTGTCGCAAGCCGCAAGTCAATATTATTAATCACTTAACGGCTTCTAGTCGAAGTTCAAAATGATGGAAATTCGTCGTTTCAAGAGAAAAATTTTGGAGGAACCAAAAAGTTGCTACTTTGTACCAAAAATAGAATTCCAAATCTTGAGAGATTTCTATCTCAATGACGAAAAAAATTCATGAGGGTGATAACCGAGTATTGGCAAACGTCATACAACATTTTTATTTGATACTAAGTTGTATCGGATCACAACTCTTTTAATGGTGCAAACTTTTGCTGGAGCAACTATAAGAATTATTTCTATTAGTAAATGTCTCAAAAATCACGATGAGCGCATCGGCAAAATTTGAAATGCACTCCTAACTTCACAATCTGTGTAAGAAATTTGGGTTTTTTTGAGCTCTCCGCGTCAAAAACGATTCTACGGCACAGGTGAACATTCCGTTAGAAGGAGTCGTTCCATTCAACCCCTGTGCACTAGGATACTACATAATATTCAGCATGGCTGACACCAATTCCGCCAAAACACAAGTGCCGGGACGAAATTCTAACCATTTGTTGACTTTGTGCTCCCGATTTCGCGTGGAAGCGTCGACTATGTTGGGTATTGCTATTGCATAGAGTACATAGAAATAGAGTCGTAGTGTAAGTGGGAGAGCTGGCGCCACTTTTAAGCAATTTCCAGGTCCCGAATTCCGAGATTCCTGTGCGGCGCCGGGTCCCTTTTTCGATACATAATCGATTGTTTGCGATAAACGGGGACCCGGCCATATTCCACACCGCCATTTTGGATCGAATATGTATCGAAAAAGTGACTCCGCACACCGGACTCGGAACTCGTCGAGCAGAACATGGCGCCAGCTCTTCCACTTACATTACGACTCTATGTACTCTATGTGCTATTGCGAAAGGGTTGAATGGAACGGCTCCTTCGAAGAAATGTTAACCTGAGCCGTAGTATCGTTTTTGAAGCGGGAAGCGCACCTAGCCGTAAATCTCTTACGCAGATTATGAAGTTAGAAATGCATTTCAAACTTTGCAAATGCGCTCAAAGTGGTATTTGAGACATTTACTGATAGAGGCAACTCTTATTTTTACACCAGCAAAGATTTGCAACAGGCCCATTGTTATTCTCACACTTAATCTGCATGCTATATTATCGAAATGGAGTTTTTTTTTTTTTGCAAATAAAAGCTCATTCTTCAAAGGCAATTGCCTATTTTATCTTTTTTTATCCCGCGATGGATCAACATTTCTAGGAAAAAAACACCCTTATCTGTTGATAACCTTTTGCCAACTATCAAAATTGCACAAGAACTGTTTGGAGTAGATACTGAAAGAATTTGATTGGTGACATATATTGTCTGTGCTACTTTGCTGGCATGCAACGAAAAAACCAACTACTGGGCGAGGCCAGTTCCGCTGGTATGTGCCCAAAAATTGAAGTAATGAAAGAGATGGGAACAAACCGCTCACAGCTAATGCCCCTTCAAATTTAAGGCGAACGTACAAATTGCTAGAACTACGGCGTTTGCCGTACCACGTACGATGGTTTGTGAGATCAAGATCCTCATGCATTATAAAAATAATATTTAGATTCTAGACTAGGGTTTGGGATTTTTCTTCCTCAAGTCTCATTATGTGCTTCATGCGTGTGTATGGACGATTCTAATTTTCACTCCCTCGAGTATTTTTGCACCGCTACATATTCTTGATAGATGTGGCATCGAGGCTGCTCTTAACTCGTCTGTTGATATCCATTGTCGTTCCTGAAACAATGTTTTTCCTTAAGAGGCCTTTAAATTGTAACTAAGGAAAGTTTCAGGCTACTCTCAAGTTAGCATCTAAAATGAGGATAATTTTTCTGAACTTAGAGTAAAATTTAGGAGAATATAACTTATATGGGAATAGATCACTGCAAGGGATAAAAAAGGCATTCCATTGCAAAAAGTACAAAATTTGAAAGAAAAATTCCACATGAATTTACAAAGCGGGTGCGTAGTTACCCTAAAGTGTGTCACAACCATTGTATTTCTCCTCTTGTATTTTGTACTTTTTTCATTGGCAAATCAGTGGCCATGAAAATTACGGCTTCGTTTTTCCATTTCAAATTTCCACTGTAAGATTTAGGAGCCAAAGAAGAATGGGAGGAGAGAAAATAAAGGTTGAAAACTTACTTACTGCTTCGGGCTCTTTTTTGTGTGTTTCAGCTACCTAAACGCAGCATTCATTTCATTGAACTTTCCAAAATTTCCACAATTTGGTTTTCCAGCTTATACAAACTTAAATGTAAAGACCGAACGATTTATATTTTCGGTCATGGTCCAACAATCAAGACCACCCTATTTATCACATCGACTATTCTGTAACGGTAAGTTAATAAAAATCACAAAACTGCATGGTTCAATGAAAATTTGTGGTTGATGGAGTCCCTTGTTTGTGCGTGATTAAATATCCAATCACATTATATGGGCAATCCTTGTGAGGAGTATATTGATATAAAAGCTTTCCAATCATACAAGTGACAGTAAATAGAAAACAAATACAAATTTCGGCAATAACTCTTCAGGTTTTATTTTAAATTTACCTAGAGGACAGTCGATTAATTTCAAGTATAAATAATTTTAAATTAATCTTAATCCACTTCGTTTTTTTCTTTACTTTTTTCAGCGGCTATTTGGGGTTCATTTCTGCTCTTGACGACGCTGGCTGTAATTAAATGCGATTTAAAGCACAAAACTAGATTGAGAAGTGAGTTTTTCGGCAAGGGTGACGTCATGAGGACAAACTTCGGTTGGCTGCTGGCAGCGGTAAACGAAACCGCATTCGTTTATGCATCATCATTCAATAAGTCGGTCTTCATCTCCTTAACGGTACAGGGTGGTATCAAAGACCGGGTAATAATTGAATAATGCTTTTTAATGTAGTAATTGATGTGTAGAAATAAAGTTGGTAAAATTGGTCAGTGAATATGTAATAGGTATTAGGCATTGTCCAAAAGAGCGCAGTTTGGGGGAATTAGTTCCATGATCTGAGGTTTCGTGGAACGAGTTATAGCTAAATTATAAAAAGTTCCTGGAACAAGCTCGTCCGAAGTTCCGCAAATCGCGCTCGTGAGGACAAGACCTTAACACTGAAAATTGCAAATTCGGAGAAATGTTTTATAAAAACATACTAAACTGAGAAATATAAATCTGTATGGGCTTTCCATTTAGAAAACGTTGTATTGGTGATTTATAAAGGTACGTAATTGGTTACTTGCGAGTCAAAAATGTTTGAAAAAGCACTCTACTCAATGGGCCTGTTGCAAACTTTAGAGCAAGAAGAAGAGTGATTTTATGAGGAAAATGGTTCAAAAATCACGATGAGCGCATCGAGAATGTCTGAAACACACTCCGAACTTCACATACTGCGTAAGAAATGTACGTTTTCTTAAGCTTCCTTCTTCAAAAATAACACTACGGTACAGGTGAAAATTTCGTAACAGGACTAACAGGAGTCATTCCATCCAGCCCTTGCGCACTGGGATGCTACGCAATTTTCAACATGGCCGACGCCAACCCACAAAACACACGTGACAAGACGGGATTTTATCAACCAGCGCTGTCCATATTTACGTTTTTCCTCGCATTGATATAGACCATGTGCTTCGTTACGAATTGCGCGCGGAAGTGTCGGTTGTGTTGAAGTTTGTGTAGGTTCCTAGTGCGCAAAGGTTTGAATGGAACGACTCCTCTTACGAAGTGTTCACCTGGGTCTTGACATCGTTCGTGAAGCAGGGACCTGGGCTGTGGCATCGTTCGTGAAGCAGGGAGCTTAAAAACACATAATTCTCACACAGATTGTGTATTTACGAGTGTATATCAGACTTTTTCGATGCGCTCATCGAAAAATTTTTCGACATTTCTACACGGAGAAAAAAACTTCGTGCGTAGGACCCGAAGTTAAGGTCATATGGATCTCCGAAGTTTTCGGATTGAGCATCTGAACACTAGGTCCAGCTGCTGAGGTTTGGATCACACATCTGAAACTTCAGTTCTTGCATCTGAAGTTCTTCGGTTTGCACATCCGAAAAACTTCGTTTCTCACATCCGAAAAACTTCGGTTCTCACATCTGAAGTACTCCAGATAGAAGAACTGAAGTTTCAGATGTGTGATCCGAACATCGACAGCTAGACCTAAAGTGTTCAGATGCTCAATTCGAAAACTTCAGAGATCCATATGACCTAAACTTCGGGTCCCACGCACGAGGTTTTTTTTCCGTGTAACAAGAAATAACTCTGCTCTTTGTTCCGGCTGAAGTTCACTATACTTGCACAATACTTACAGAGGCATATTGCTATTATCGTTCGCAGGTGAGGCAAATCGCCGTGGATCTGGAGCCCGGTTGGAGCAGTTACAAGCGAGTTGCCCTGGCGCTGAGACTGGCCGGGAAGAGGTACCATTACAGTAAGCTGTTCTGCAACTCCAAGGACTACATGAACTACATCATCTCCGGCAAATTTAAAAGCCCCCGCTTCGACTCAAAGTGCCCGCTCCGTCGCGATTTGACGATGTTGACAGTCCGGCAAATCAACGCCGATGATCTATACTTAGAGACGAAGAAGGCCCGTCTGATCGTCAACGAAATACCCAACCAAGAGCCGTCCCAGCGCGTCCTCCGAGTATCCAGACCTGAGTCGGAGGACGAATCAGAAACTGACTCAGACGCAAACACTATATGTGGCCTGCCTGTATGTAACTAATACGGTGAACGGCTCGAGGATCACACTCAAGTCGTCGCTCTACTAACGTAAGGGCGTATCTTAATTTCCACGTGAGCCCTGATTTACATATGGACGTATTTCTACCAAACAGACCTATGTGGAGGTGAGAAATATGGGGTACGCTCGTTAGTTCTGTTTGGGTAAGAGTGCATGAGAATATTAAAGCGCCAGTGACGTCAGCGGCAACGATCGATCGCCGGCACAACGAACAGGTCGTCGTCGGGGCGCTTTAACTCATGAGTCCTGTGCACAAGGCTCTCTTGCCATGCCCGCGGCTCATGAGTTCCGCATTCAGTTGCACATAGGTCTGTTTGATAGAATGCAAAATCCCGCTTTTCCAATTCTTCAAAAGGAACCACGCCCACTTTTACATTGCTTCTTATCCAGCTTCCTAGAGCACACCCCACATTTCTCACCTCCACATAGGTCTGTTTGGTAGAAATACGTCCATATAAGCCCATGCTCTCCGGGGCTCATCCAGAAATCGAGATACGCACTTACGTCAGAGGAGCGACGAAGTGTCGTGCCGCGCGTCGTTTCGATGCCGTTTTGGATTTTGTGGGATGCTAAGCTGGGCTCACTAACGAGTGTAATCTACCGTTGAGGGTTAAACAGGGTGCGTGACTTTGCATCCCCCTGCAATGCATCCACCCTTATCTAACCTCCCTAACCTAACCTAACCTACTCAGCGTAAACTAACCTAACCTAACATAACCTAACGGCTGGGTGGATGCATCGCAGGTGGATGCAACGTCCTGAGCCCGTTAAAAACGCCTAAGACGTTATAAACTCATGGTGTGACCCCAAATCATCACGCTCAAAAAACAAGTATGGGAAGAGTGACTTACCTGCCGAGTTATGGATCATGGAGCCATAAAATATAGTTCGTGGAGCCATGCTTATAGGTTCACGACCAATAAGGTATGGCTCAGAGAGTCATACTGTAGACGGTAAGTCACTTTGGTTCGAAATTATGGATCTCCGAGCCATTCTTTATGGGTCTCAGAGTCATACCTTGTTTTGAGTGTAGTATTTCAATTCATCTCTTCAGGCTCTCCCCCCCCCCCCCCCCCCCCGATCTTGTACACGGAAAAAAGATGTATAGGGGTTGTTGGATGATATTAACATTCCCCATTAATTGTGGTGGTACGTAGTAACCAAATTAATCAGGTTACTTCCCCTAATGTTGCGGTACTACCACAATTAATTGAAAATGCCCATATCAATAAACAAATTGTGGTTGTGCCACAATTTTAGGGGAAAACCTCTGACACTTTCTCCCCGTGTGCTGGTACTCAGCAGAGCTCATTTTTCACTCTAAATGAAATTGTTGAACCGTTTAGCCTTGCTTTCCCTGCAAAATAATGTAAACTACCTTATTATTATTAAAAACAATTGTATGAAGCTGCAAGATCTCCAAAACCAGAATTTCATGTTTTGTTTTGTCGTGTTAGTAGGTGATAGAACCAAGCTTAAAAATCGGAGGACAAGCTTGATAGGTGGTAAAGCGCGCGCTACAACAGCTATTAAGGATTATGAAAATGATAAAAAATTAGTGCTCCTATGTCGAGAAATTGCCCACCTATGCACAGTGAAGGGGAACACGTGAACGCTCTGAGAAGGCTACGTGCCGTGCCAGAGTAGCGGTGAAATGATGCGAAACGTCCATCGATGGATCCTCAAAGTTATACTGTGCTGCGCTTAATCAAATTAAATATGGAAAAACGGTACCCACGTCATACGTACACGCCGTCAAAAAAAATAAAACATGCGAGTAAATCGAGTACTGTGAAATGCAGTGGCCCTAATTCCAAAGGGACGATTCAAAATTCGGTAGCGTAACGATTCCCAACGATAAGGATGCGTCATTAATGGGTCGCGCGCACGGAAATTATCGCAATTAGTCAGTGCTGCCACATTTATGACACTTTTTCTGTCAGACGGCGCTGCGATCTTGATGCGTCAGGGGTTTTTGACCTCGCTCTGACGGCTAGGCCACACAACTACCTGATATAAATCTAATTGCCTTAAACGTTTTGCCGGCCTCAGTAGAGTCATTTGACCATAGAGTACAATAGAGTCGCAAAGTACTGGATCGCCGATGAAGTCACTTTTCGAGGCTGTTTTGTCCAGTTCTCCGGAGACTATTGTGCGGCGACTAGCGATGACGCATACGCAGAGACTCGCGCTCAGCGCTCCCCACTCCCGAGACTCCCGACAGTCCCGACTCGGCTCCGTTCGTCGGCTAGACACACTCTGAACCAGCTAAAATAAGTAGGCCGGTAATAAGTCTGAAATTGAGTCCATATATGAATATTATCTCGGAGTAACATACATTAATGGATTCATTATGGCTTTGAATATCTATTTCAAGCAAAATTTGCACAAATTAATACCGATGGAATTAAAAAAGTCGAAAAAACACAAGCAGTCGTTGATTTCTCCATAAGCCACCGTGTAAAAAAATGCCGGTTGGTTCACACTTGGTATAAATCAGAAATTAAATCCCTGTATGAATATTATCCAGGAGTAATATACATCAATGGATTCATTATGGCTTTGACTATCTAATTATAGCAAAATTTGCACAAATTAATATTGATGGAATTAAAAAATGCCGAAAAAACACAGGCAGTCGTTGCTTTTCCCGTAAGCCGCCGTGATAAGAAATGCCGGTTGGTTCACACTTGGTATAAGTCAGAAATTAAATCCCAATATGAATATTATCCAGGAGTAATATACATCAATAGATTCATTATGGCTTTGACTACCTTTAAATAGCAAAATTTGCAAAAATTAATGCTGTTTGAATTAAAAAATACCTAAAAAACACAAGCAGTTCTTGATTTCTCCATAAGCCGCCGTGTTACAAAATGCCGTTGGGTTCACAAATGGTTCACTATTTTCGGAGCACACGCGGCTCGGAAACGCCTGTTCATGGATTGGCTTCATCGCCGCTCCAGTACTTTGCGACTCTATTGTACTCTATGCATTTGACCCATACTCTCGACCCTCTCGTAATAATGATTTGTTGACCTATGTGCTGCGTACGCATAAACTATCCCCTGCAGGTTTCTGCTGTTACTATTTTAAGAGATAAAGAGAGGTGTCTTTGTCGAATGTCAATGGTTTTTTTTTCGCAAATCTCGAAGTAAATAATCAATTATTCAAAGAATTCTGAAACTTTGTTAATTTCTCTTCAGTCTGTGCAAAATCTGAAAAACTATCGTCAAAATAATTAACAAATTAGTGGTGGTACATGAACTCTTGAGCCATCTTGACGTGGTGGTAAAATTACCAGCGCAGTGCGCAGTGGTAGGTAATAAATACCACAATCATCGATAATGGCTACTTTCAACGACGAGTTCTTATAAAACACTACTGATAATAATTTTAATCATGCTTTTTTCGTAGTACGTATTGAAGCAGAAAAAAGTCTGAGGATTTAATTTAAAACTTTGGACATTTTTTGGGTTGTTCCAATTATTTTTGATTTAACATTTACTTAAAACGTCTCCAGGGTGCATATTGTAATTTTGACGAGAGAGATTATCGATTTACAAACAAAAAAAATAAGCGAATTAGATTAATTTTCACATCCAAAACATCGGAAATGAAAACATTTTTTGGTAAAAACATGTAAAATTTTCTAAATACTCAAAATTCGAGTGACTGCTTCTGCATTTGACCAAGTGTCTGATTTGGTTATCAACCGTTGACGTCTCCATAAAATAATAGAACATTGATATTAGCTCGATAAAAGAAGTGTTTCGTCCAAAGACAATTTTTGAACTTTATAACATCATTTACTTAAAGTGAGAAAAAGATTAGAAAAATTGTATTGACTCCTTCAATTTTGTCTCCGGCAAATTCGCATACCGCCGTGAAAGGTCGAGAGAGATTATATTAAGTTGACGATGCGATGAACGATGAGTGAACCTGATTCCGCATCAGACGAAAGAAGCAAAACATACAGATCATGTTAAAAAGCAATTATATGATTTTGAAAAACATTTAGGTAGGCACGGACCTACCTTAAAAGTATAAAAAGGTCCAATATTTTTTCTTTTGTATTTTACAGTTTTGTGGTGGCAAATCATTATGATTCTTAGAAACATCCATTCCGGAAGTTCTAAACTTTTGCATTTAATAAGAAGTTTGCAAAAATTTCAATTTTTATGATGCCTTGAAGGTTTAAAGGCCTCCCTAATCACTACGTGAACCCAAAGGAACCGCCATGAATACGGCGCTATGACTTTTCAAGCGTTTGTTTTCCGGTTAAAGCAGTAATGAGATGCTTAAACTGCAGGACAAAAACCTTAGGAAAATGTAGGAAAAATGCATTTAATTCAGTTGCGACTTTTGAAAATGCTGGCTAAAGATTTCGTGCGCTCGGCGCTGATGGTGAATGCAGTGAGTGCTGTAAGCAGTTTCGTAATCTCACCGGTAGAGAACAGCATAGCCAGTGAGTGGAGGTTCCTACATTTATCCGATAGAGTGCGTTAGACTGCATGATTCCCAACGTGAAGATAGCATCAAAATAACCCGGAGCGGCACGATTCCTGCTCCTGCCTACAACTACAGCTCCTCGATGGATTCAGTCTATGCTTTCTCGCGTTATCGGCGCTACGCTCTTTGTTTACATCGTTGTGTTATTGGATTTTTCTGAATTTGCCGGGTGTTTTTAAATTTTGTGTGAATATTTCTGTGCGTTTGGAGTGCTTATATCTTACGAAAAATCATCCATCCTCGACTTATGCACCATAATTCAGTTTCGGTATGTGTTTGTTTACATTCATTTTAGGTTATGTGTTTACAGAAGAATACCTCCTAATCACTCTTGTCTTTTACATTTAATTGCGGAAATACTCCAATGATTCGCACATTTCAGCATTTTCTCAAGCCGAGGACCTAGATTTGAAGGTTGAAGGGTTGTCATGAGAGTCTGGCTGTAGGTCTTCCTGCCATAAAAATTACCACAAGACAATTGAACGGGGACATGCGTTTTCTGACGTTATGAATGAGGGCATCTTTCTGTTGTTACTTTACAATTTTTCAACCGTGGGAAGTACTTGCTATTTTATAAAGAGTATGAGTACGGTACAGAGAGATGAGGAAAATATTCATAGTGTTTTAATTGACGCACAGACCTTTGAGGTGCCGTTGTACGACCTAATAAAGTCAGGGAAAATTTATTTAACCCTGAATTGTTAGGAGGCACTGGGAAATTTCAGAGTGTCAGAGGTAAAACTGGCCTTCTATATGTCAATTTTCTTGAATCATTTGAGTATTTTTACTGTCAGAACACAAATAGATTGAACCTCAGGCAAGGAAAACTGTAAGCTGCTAGCCAGGACATACTTCAATTAATAATTGTAATATCCATCGTTCGAAGAAAGTAGTTTCCTATTTGAGACTTCCTGGAAAACTGTGAGATTTTTTCCTGTAGGCCATTTGTTATTATAATCCTTTTTACATCCTTCCTTACCTCAGTCCCATTGGCAGGAGAATCAATTTTCATTTAACTCATATTCCTGACTCTTTGCTGATCTACTTTTATGTGCAAGGTTGTTTGAATGGATGGAGCAACATGTAGTTGATACTTACCATGATCAAAGAGGAACCGAGAGAGGACTAATCTTTTCAGAGCAGACAACGGAGGAGATTATTAATGATTCGGCTTTAGGTGTAAACAGAGTAGGCAACCCTACGGCTATGGATTCTTCAAAAATTGAGGCAAAAATAACTGAAAAATATCATTTATAAAGTAGGACCAGCAAATTACTTATCCATCAATTTTTGATAGGAGCTAACAATGCATGTGCATCAAACTTGCAATAAAAATATATTGTAAGAACTGGCTCCGCTCCCCAATTTTTCTTCCTAAATTAGCTCCAATTAGCTGCAGGAATTGTCTTTTAAAATCACTGGAAAACATGTCAAAGTAGGTTGCTTTACTTCAAAATTTTTTGTAACAAGCCGCACGGCCTGAGGCTTTACCTCAACTTGTAGTGCTAGATTCCAAAACCTTATTAGAATTGATGGCAAATTTTAATTTTTCTTTGGTTCGAGGGATTAAAATGTTATCAGCACTTTTGAAGCTGGGCTCCAGAGTGCAACTGTCTATCACTGCATCAATAGTCAGTGAGATTAAATAAGAATTTAGAGGTTTCTATGGAAAAATAAAGGCGCTTGCTAATCAAAAGGAAAGAATCTACAAAAGGTATATTATACAGTCATTTTCCTGATGCAACAAATTCTGTTAGCGCTAGATTTTATTTTTTTCTTGTAGACCACAACTTGGAACATTAAAGCCCAAATATACACCTTGAAAAGCTGGCATTCTCTGCAATCTTTTTGAGATTTATTTTCATTTCCAGGATTTGCTGAGTACTTCAAGATTTTTTAGAAAAAACTTGCCAGTGTGCCATTTTTTGTACTCTGCTCAAGCGATTTTCCGTGAATAAAATTAAACAAGAAAAATGCCAAAAAAAAGAGGTCTTTTACTCAGTTGACAGTGGTCTTCTGCTCGTTTGTGAAAAAAATAGAAGTGTCAGTACGCACCTACGTACGTTATCACGAGAATTTTTAAGTGGTTAGTTTGTATAGTAATCTGTTTACCCTTTTGATCCCTAATATTTAAATTAAAGACTTACAAAAAAAAATGTTTTAAAAAATAATTTTAAAAAAGTAAAAAAAATCATTTTAAAAAAGTAAAAAAAATAATCATACCTAAGTAATAATATAACAATAAGCCTTGCAATCTACAGGAGCGAGGAAAAAAACTCTTGAACTAGTCACTTGAACACAGGAGATACAATATTGGTACCTCAGTAACTGAAATTACTTTATATTTTAATCCCCTTTTCTTGGATGAATAAAGACTCATAATAAAAATATAATTGCTTTAAGAGCATTGAACCTAGATACCAGTCGTTACAAATTTTATTTTGAATTTACTCACCTAAGGTTTATTTCATGAAGATTAAGTCCGTCATAAATTTTCTTTGCATCAATAATGAGTGTGGTCCAAAATGTTTACATCTACTTGTCCAAGTATATTTGTCGCAGTCACTCATCATCATTAATCAAACCCATCTAGACGCCAACCATAAATCGCAAATCAGATGTAAGAACACATGTCGTTGAAATCTTCCTCAGTTCTTACATTTGCCGTATGCTGATTATTCACGTTGCCATATTGAAAATGAATGCCGCACAATGGATAGAGTCACTTAGAGAGGTCGGACATGAAATTTTTGACTTAAACTGCAAATTTTGATGTTTATTCCGTCTTATTTTAAATTTCAACGGATGCTATCAGAAGAAAATTTCACGAGGAAACAAATGGAACAACCCTTAGAACTTCAAAGTTTTGTATAAACGGAGTTATAAGTGTTTAAAGTATCCAAATTTTGTCCGACCGTTCCCGTTGGCTCGGTCCACTGTATGCCGCCGCAAATACTATCAAATGTCAACGGTTTTTAAATCTTGCACAACAGATTAGGGAAAAGCCTCGGGAAAGCCGTGTGTCTTGTCACAAAAAATTTGAAAGTAAAGCAACGATATGTTTTACAGTGATTTTACGAGACAATTCCTGCAGCTGATTGGGGCTAATTAAGAAAGAGAAATTCAACAGCAGACTTGATTTTTTACAAAATTTCTATTGTAGGTAACTGTATTGTATACAACTGTCAATGGCCAATTATGAAAGGGGGTGAAATCAATGAAAATATCTAAACACGTTGAAAAAAAATCCTCTCGAACTTCCTTTCTATGCAAACAAACCTCTACCATTTACGTACATCATTACAAAGCAAGCTTTCTAAAATGTAAGCAAAATTCCCGTGTCCCCAGGGATTTCAAGTGGAATGGGACTTACAAAAACTAACCCCATACTGCCGTGCTAAGGTAAAACGCCGTATGCAGATTCGATAGTTGTCAAATTTCCTTCTATAAAATGTTTATTTTTAAGGAATGGTATGAATATTTTTCCTTGAAAGTTTGAGGAACTTTAGCTGAAATTGCGAACCAAATTATCTGAAAAAGGAGGAGAAAACTATCTATAAGTTAGCGAGAAAATCCGTGTTTTATCAAAGGAAATTTGGCGACGCCTGAAGGCTCATACGACGTTTTTCCTGAGCACGGCAGCATAGGCTACGCTGGATTTTCTAGCCTGCTAAGTGCTAAGCTCTTCAAGTGATCAAATCGTTTGTTATAACGACTAAAACCGTAGATTTTACTAAGACATCTGGAAAGAAAATACCCTGCTGGACTGATGTCCTCTTGTTCCTCTCCATCAAAGATGTGTTGTCATTCAGAAGTTGCGACTTGCGAGTGGCTAGCGTATTGGATCATCAATACGATCCCAGATTTCGGTGGTTGGCCCCTGATTTTTAACAAGACTGCATTAATTTAGCCCGAAGATTTGGTCGATGTTACCCAAAAGAACTAACCGTACGTTTAGATCACTTCGTGTGCTATTTACCACATTAACACAAAATGTCGGTTACTTTTGCTTACTGTAAAGGAAAAATCACTCACAAAAAAAAAAAAACACATTGGATCTAGAGTCCAGACTCCTGAAAACATTGACGGAAAAAAGGACTCATGATTCAATCAGATTTAAGCTTAAATCAAAAGGAAATACGCTCAAATTAAGAGGCTTGGTTCTTGATTTAAGCTTAAATCTGATTGAATCAAGAGTATTTTTTCTTGTCGATGTTTTTAAGAGTCCGGACTCTAGATACAATGTGTTTTTTTTTCCAGAAGTGCTAGCAAGAGTTTTTTGGACTCATTTTCTCTCAGAGATTTAATATTAAACAAAAACTGGCCAAATTTGTCTTAATATATGACTTTGAAATTGAAAATTGATGGAAAGTGTGAGCTATACGATGACGTCACTGCTCAAATTAAAAACAAGTCGTAATACAAAGGCATTGGTATCCTTGACGAGTCGAATTTGCACGCACATCGGCAACGGGCGAACAACATTGTTCTAATGTCTTTCTGATGCTAATGCGCCTCCGCTGCATTGTTCCAGCCCACTAATTACCGTGTTACTGTCGTCTCGGATTTACATCAATATCTAGAAATCTAGGCTGAATACTTTTCTCGCGGCCTCCTCTGCTAGCATGCGTAGGAGAAGCCACCGCACAGTAAAACTCCGGGAACGGTCGGACGTGCAACTTGTTACTAAAAATCCGATTTTTTGGGTTTATTTCGTTGTATGACGAATTGTTCGGTGTGTTTCTTGGAAGGAATTTTACAAAAAAAACAAAAACAAATGGAAACACTCTTAAACATTTGCGTATTGTATTATCGAAGATGTAAGTCTCTAAAGTTTTTACATCACGTCCAACCTCTCCTTTCCACTGTGCGCCTCCATTCGTCTAAGCTCCTTGCTCCAGTAGAATTCTGCGTGTTGAGGAAAACCCCATATGAACTTTCGAATGTTGCCAAATTTTTACGGGCTGAATATTCATTTTTGATAACAGCAATACATGCCCTCGCAATAGCTGGATACGCTAAGTATAAGTAGTATAATGCATAAGTAGAATTTTTTGAAAAATGCGAAGGATAATAGGACTCCATTTTGGGATAGGTACAACAATTTTCAACCGATTTTCAACAAATTTCAACAATTTTCCACCGATAAAACATATATCTCCAACATAAATCATGAATTTTTCTCCTTGAAATAAACCAAAAACCCTCGATCAAATTGGACTTTTTAAAGCAGAAAGCAGAAAGGAACCAAGTTACATCAGCCATTGC